ACAAGTTAGGTAACGCCACTTGATTGCATGTTGCTGGAAGCGGTGTTAGCCTCTAACCTTTATCTTGTTTCGTCTTTTGAGCAAAAGCTTTTCTGGATGCAAACGCACTCATGATAGCTCGAACTCCAGCATGACACCCCCCTACCCACCCACCGGTGCTGTCTTCCAAGCACCTCATCCGGTTGCCGCCCTGTCAGCTCCGTCGGTTTCAGGCCCTGCGCCCTCGAGTGCCAGCTGTGGGGAGGCGGAGGCGGTGGAGATGGTGCAGACCGCTTCGCGCTTGGCCAGGCAGTTCTCCAAGGACCTTGACCGACCGGTGGGACCGGTGACCGGTCGTGTTTGGTGGTGTTTTCGCTGCCAACTTGAGTGGGCTGCGAAGAAACATGGCATGGTTGGGATGTTTGGGTTAGTAGTAGTCGTCGTCGTCGTAGTAGTAGTAGTGGTGGTAGTGGTAGTGGCAGTGGAAGTAGTAGTCTTGGAGGGAGTGTATATATATTTATATATATGTATATCAAGTGTAGTAAAGCATGCTTCATTTCCTTTTACATGTCCCGTCTGCAGCTGGGTGAGGACTGAAGGTTGTAGAGGTTGCAGAAGAAATGCACTCTGTGGCTTAGTAGGGATTAGATGACCGACGATGAAGGCTACTGCCATGCAGGAGGTAGGAAGTTATTCGATGTTATTTGTCCTTTAAATTCCAAAACTATAATCACATGCAATCACAATTTGTGTGCAGGTCCCACTTTGGAGCCATCCACTGCTCTTTCATGGACTTATGTCTCAAGTGAAAACCACCGAAACATCCACACCGCAAGTGAGCACCTGATGTTTAGACACGCCGCTGGAAGATGTATCGGCACAGAGGGGGATCCTGAGGCGCCAAGTCATCAGCAGGGCGGATTCTGTACTCACTATCCACGATCCGGTGCACGTTGCGGGTGAACTACTCACAATCCTTTAAACGAAAGAGACACGACCGGACACAACTAGACTTGTCAAGGGATCTATTACCAAGGTGGCCTTTGGCACGATCAACGTTCGGTGCACACCTCTGTATGTCTTTGTTCTTCCCATACCTCTGCTAACACCCTGGACGTGTTGAAGCCAGAGTTTTCCTGCTTCGGATGATTCCCCTCAATCTCCAGGCGCCTCGCCGCAGGATCATGACTCTCACTACGTGCTCCACATGCAAACGGAGATCCAACATGACCATCTCGAGCCCCGGCGGGGGTGTGGTTTTTGGGTGTTTGCTGGCGCAGTTGGTGTGGAGGTCTGGTGTCTGGTGTCTGGCGTGGCGGGTCAAAGAACTCGAGAAAGAAAAGAGCCAAAAAGATCAACCACACCCTCCGGGTCTCCAAATAAATACATCCAAATGACCATCGACCAACCACACCCTCCGAAAGTAAGATCGGTGAGGTCAAATGTGAAGATCTCCAGAGATCCCCAGAGTCCGGATCGGTATCCCGAGTCCGGTGAACGACTTCGATGATACGGTCATGAACCCCTGGCACAGGATGGCGGATACATGAGACGGATGTGGTGGATTTTTTTTGGTATGGCCGTGTGGACTTCCAAAGGAACTTCAATCCGAACACCTTCCTATGAACACCTATGAACATCTTTTATCTTGGGGGGCTAAAATGGTCTGGAGCGTCTTCATCCATCTTTCACGTGGCTAAAAGAAAACCCACCCACCCACCCACCCACCCACCAACCAACCAACCAACCCTTAAAAGCCACTCAAATCCTCCATCTGAGTGGGACCCGAAACCCGAAACCCGGACACCGAGGATTGCACCGAGCGCTTCATGGATCGGCGCTTTCGGCCCTTCTTGGCCCCTTGGGAACGAACGAACGGACGGACAGGGACCCTGGGCAGAGGGAAGTGGGAGGACCCTAAAGAGGGGGTCCATAAGTCCATAGAAGTCCAGGATCCATCATCGAAGGTGGTGTTCTTTGGTGGGGAAGGCCCTATTTGCCGCTTTTGGTGAATGGAGAGTCGTTCAAAGCTCACAAGCCAATGTCTATCATTTTCGAGCTTTCCTGAAGCACGTGGTTACGACGTGAAGAGCACTGTGACAAGCCATGCACCATGGAGGGGGCAATGGGAAAACCGAGAAACCTGGAGCGTAGCCTCAAGACGCGAAGAACGCGGAGGAGGACAGCGGAGCCCAGGTGACTTTTCGCTGGCTCTTGTTGGCCTTCTCCTTTAGCCTTAGTGGGCTTTGCGTCTTCTTGGCCTACACAGGCTTCAGCTTGGCATCAGGCGATGGGCACTGGGCGAGAGGGCCGGAGAGACTCAAGAGTTAGATGGTGTCACGTGTTGAGATTAGACAATCTTTTTGTGTGTGTGTGAATTAGAAGGATTTTCTTTTGGGATTCTTCTGGATACTGTAGATCATATTGTTGGATGAGATGTTGGATGATGATGATGATGATGATGATGATGATGATGACGATGATGATGATGTTGGATGATGATGAATAATACGTCAATAATAATAAGAAGAAGGGTTTGGATCGTGTTGGATGATGCCACCACTACTCAAGACATGAACAGCCATCCAGCATCATCCAGCCATGCTTCCGCTGCGTCGAGGAAGACCCTCTGCCGTGCGCCATCGGACCAGGTGACATTGTGATCTTCGAGGAAGACGTGAACCTGGGCCGGGTCGCTGCGCCCCGTGGCTGAAGCGATGCACGCCAGGGGCAGGCAGCCCAGGCCACTCAGGGTTTGGTTGAGGCCGTTGAAGGTCAATTATGACACATCCTCAGGAGGGAAGACAGAAGAAACCACAAGGGATGTCCATTCACCACCCCTTAGGGACCCTGCGCCGTTGGATTTACATCCCAACCGCCGCGACGCCTGCGCCGTTGCCGTTGTTTTCTGCTTGGTCGGTGGGCTCATTACCGTCAGCGTTCCCAAAGGCGAACGGCGAACGACAAGCACGGCAGTCTGGCCACCGAGGAAGCGTCTTTTGCCGTCGGGTTATATACTATATGGATTATGGCTTTTGATGATCTTGGGTCGCCAGGCTCGGCCGGGACGAAAAAAGCAGCCGCCCCCAAGAGGCTTCCGAAGCATTCACCCTGGTGACCTACTAGAGAGGTTCTTGCTGCAGTCGGGGCCTCACCTTGCCAAGCTTTTCGCTACGCCCAACGAACGAGGTTGACGTCGGAGATCTTCCCCTCCTACACTAGCGCGGACCTCAATAACAACCTGGCCACTTGGGCACGCACACGACCGCACGCGTTTTCGCGTGGGGCGCGTGCGTGGACGGCGAAGGCCGGGTGTTTGATGGTGCAAAGATCTTTCCAAACAGGAGCCATGCACAGGCCGGTCCCGTTTCCCTCCCTTTGAGAAGAAGCAGCGGATAGCAGGGCTGGAAAATCCAGTACCGGATAGTACCGGTAGCAAATGAGTGCATGAAATGTGTTTTCTTCATATGCTTCGAGACCTGGTACTGTAGAGATTTGAAAAGGAGAACCGTTTATATAAAATGATTATGGCTTGTTCCCCCTGAGGTACTTTGACTCCCACAAGAGAACCTCCGAAAGTTTCGGTGTGGCCGTGGATTCCCAGGCGACCCACCGGTTCGCGTCCGGGTGGCTCCGTCCCTCCCAGGCGATCCTCAATCCCTTGCAGCCGCAGATCAAACCCAGCTGTCCCAGGCGAAGAAGTTGCGCTTCGCACCTGTGAAGTAGCGTGTTTGCTCCTATAGTAGTAAGGCCAGGAGCCCCAAGCGTGAGGAGCCCCTAGTCCTTGCTCCTAATACATGTACATGTGTTTTTTCCTGGGGAGTTTGGTATAGGACTACCGAGAATGACTGGCCTTGTTCGGGTGGATCATATGGGCCTCACGACTGGCCTCTCCAGGAGCATAGTCCACATGCAAAGGAGTCTTTTTTGTTTTTATTTAAACGGCTTACTTGAGTGAGCACTTTTGCCACAGCACTTGAAGACACTAGTGGAGGATATGTCTATTTTTCAAGCAGCTCATATTGAATTATATTCATTCATATTGTGGATCACCCCTCACTTGCTGGGTACATGGCGAATCATTTGGGCGAATGGTGGTGCATTTGGGCACCCCTTCCACGTCCTTGACAAACCACATGCATTCGTTGGACTAACCAGCCCAGTCCAAGGGATGCCTTCATCTGCAGATGGAACGTCTTCGCGCAATGTTGACGCAACATCAACCCCTCCTACTCTTCTTTAAGATGTTTTTTATATATTTTTCGAGACACTTAGTTCATATTATAGTGTCATATAGAGTTCATTCAAAGGTCATTTATATAGTTCACTTGTCATGAGGTCATTCATGTTCATTCAAAGGTCATTAGGTCAAGGCCTCTTCCGTTCCACCCGGTTCGAGCCCCGTTGGCACCGCTCGCTTCACGCTTCACGCTGCTCCGGTCGCAGGCTGGGCGACAACAACAGCTGGTGTTCAGGCACCACCGGGAGGATGTCCGGGACGTCTCGACATGTCCGAAGCGGGTCCCTACCCCCCAAACATCTGGACGCACTAGAACTCATGTGTACGGCGTACAGGTGCACTACATTGCAACAATTGTTGACTCTGTTGATGGCATTTTTGGAACGCCCAGAAGGTGGAGGGCCTCCAAGTAAACCCCCTCCAGTCACCGCTGCGTGCGTTTTATCCGCACCGCCGCGACCAGCGAACTTCTCCGAAAGGCCTTGGAAGCTGCGACACCTTCACAGGGCGATGTACCTGTCAGGACGACGTCAAGCGCCGGAGAGGATCGTGGTCGAATTCGACTGTGGGAGGAGACATGTGGTGACCCCTCGGCAGACGCTGGGGGGTGGAGACATGTGGTCAGTTTGTGACGGGGTCGAAGTGGAGGAAAAATTCATGTTCAGAATCTAAAGATGATCGCTGATGGAGGATCCAGGATTTGGATTCAGAGAGCCCCTATATATGCCTCTAGAGAAGGTTTGGGGGATGTTTGGGGATGCTTAAGCCAGACTTAGTTCCGAGTTTCTCAGAAGGCATGTGGATCCTCAAGGTCTGCATGGATTTGTAAGTACTAAGACGATTGCAGAGTTCCCAGCTGCTACAAGCAAAACCACCATGAAAAACACCCCGAGTGATAGATGAAAGAGTACATAGTCTATTTAGTCAGAGAGTCATAATTCTTGCATAGGTCAGGGTTTCCTTGTAAGTATTAACATGCTTATCTTTTCTGTCACCTTTCTGATGGTTCTTCGCCAGGAGGGCTACGTGGGCCAAGCCTGCTCGGTGCTGCGTGCCGATCCCACCTTGGACTTCGTCCCGTGGCCGCCGCCGTCGATTCCCAAGAGCTATGCCCCTCAGCAGTTTTCATTCGAGCGAGTTCGAGCGAGCGAAGGCGAAAAGGATGGCACCCAGGCCGGGCTAACAAGAACGCGAACTCCATGTGTCCGAGGGTATTTTTGGAGGCACAATATTTGAACCATCATCGGCAGCCATAGGGCCCATAAGCACATGACCTGCACGGTTCGACTCTTTGGCCTGCTCAAGAGCTCGAACGCGACGAGTGCTCGTGGGAGCGCCGCTAAGCATGGTTTGTTTGGGTCAAATGGGTTATGGGCATGTGCGGCATGCACCAATCATAACTGCATCTATATTCGGGGAAACAATCATTTCCAACATATAGATAGAAGCGCACCAGATGCCCAGGTGAGGATAAAGTACACCACTGGAACCTTTGGATACGTATGACAAACCATGAAACAGCATTACTGGGAAATGCTTGGACACTCTCCCCAACCCCAAGCAGTTTGCATTTCTTTCCTGGCATCAAGAACTACACACCGGATGAACTCAACAGAGGTGAATAGGCACTGAAACTTGAAGCCGCGATTGCCTTCTCAGCGCAAGGACTACATTCATATCCTGGCACGTCCGTCCCTCTTGGAGAGCCCTGGAACCGCCGATGCCACTGAGCCTCGGACGGATGTCACCTCCAACGGCCGATCTCGTCCGGGAAAGTACATAGCATTGGTTTTTTGTCTACTAGCTTCTTGTTACTAACTACTAGTAAGGCACTTGTTACTAGAAGCGACGCCAGGAGCCCCTAGTAGCGTCCTTTGCTCCATGGAACCTTACACCAAAAACATCCAAAAACCAAAAACCTTACTAGAAATCACCAACCGTCTCTTTCTGCTTTCCACTTCTTGTCGAAGTGTTGAACACACCGGTGAACCGTTGGTCGCCGGGTTTCCAGAAGAGAACACATCACCTCCCCAAAGCACGGTGAAGATCACAAGTGGCACCGAGTTTCACTGTAGAAGACGACACATCACCACCAATGTCACCAGAAAAAGCACAGTGATCTACTAGCCCAGCACATCCAAGTCAGACTCTAACTAGTTAATTATAGTCATTGAATCTCATTGATGCCTTTTGTGGGACAGCAACTTCTCAGCAACACCCGGTGTTCACTTCTCAGGAGCCCATCTACTTTCTGAACCAGGGCGACGAGCCGGTCGAATGGTCCATTGAGGCCGGTCGATAAAATGAGTCGTCGGGACAGTGGGCGGTGTAAAACAAGTGGTCCAAGATGGCCGTTGGGTGGAGGATGGTGGAGGAGGTTATATATGTTTCTTTTTTTTTCAGAAGGCAAGAAAGAACCCTTGTCTCTATTTGGAGCTCTGAATGGGTGCTTTGACAGGCCCCTCTACTCTGAAGCATACTAGAAATAGGATGAAATAGGATGTCAAATCTTTGGATCTTCAAATCCATGGGTGCTCTTCTGAATTCCGGCCACACCTGGGGCTGCACATTGGAAGGAACACCAGCGACACCCCAGGGTGACACCCCAGGCGCCGCCGGAGTCTTCGAGCTGGCTCGGGCTCTTGCAGAGCTCCGGCGCCGTGCCGCCCCGCGTCTTCTCCCGCACGGACGATGCCTTCCCGGGGCGAGGCATGGGGAGCTGGGAGGAGAGGGAGGTGTTTTGGTGGCTGGGACGGGTTAAACTTTCTTTTATAGATGTCTCAGTCATACTCAATCGTACTTCATTGTCCTCTTTCAGAAGAACAGCGAGCTCGCAACCGTGAAGAAGCAATCCAGAAATCCATGCCCATTCCACTTTTAGGTTTTGGCAGCTCATGTGGGGAATTATTGAATAAACGTGAAACACGTCGTGATGAAATTAGAACACTTTCCAAGCTAGCCATTTGCCCTGGTACGTGTTGTTTTTTTGAATGGACAGCCCAGTGTTTACGACCTCAACCATTTTTGAGCCTATGGGGTGTGGGTCAAATTCAGCTTCCAAAACGTGGTGAGAATCGAATGCCGAGAAACGTCGACGTGAACGTTCTGGGCGTTTGAAAGTGGCGGGGCAACACAGTAACCAGCGGATGGTTTTGGCACGTCCGGAATGGTTTCGCGGCCCAAGCACAGGACATCACCGGCCGACTTACAACAGTTGAGATAAGTTGAGTGCTTCAAGGGCCTCGATTGAGAAGCACAATTGGATTGGTCGAGGAAGATGACCTGTCACCAGGAACGAAAACAGCTGCATCTGGAGGGACTCATCTCAATGAGACGAAAAAACCCTTCCATCGTCACCCGGCATGGTGCACTTTATGGGAAGCCCTATATACAGCATATGGCCTATGGAAGGTAGCGACTGACCCCTAGCTTTCCAAGGTCCAGGCCTCGGCTTGGGGGTCTCAGATGTCCAATCTCCGATTGCCACGGATCGAACATTGCGCTCTCTCACCAGGTTTCAAACACTGCTCACCTGAAGATGGCCTCTTAAACACCACCAGTCCTTCCGTTTTCCAACCCCTCGGTCGATGCCACCCCGACCCTTCGAGCCTTTGGTCTGAGGAGTCGGGGTTCTGTTCCACCCCCCCCCTGGTGCCCGCTCCGCTGCAAAGTCGGTGGAGCACCCGGACGAGACGTGGGACGTCTCGAAATGGAGAGTGGCCATGCGGCCACGGTGCAGTGCGAAGCACGCAGCTCGCAGCGCATGGAGGAGGGGCGCCTGACCTTTGTGGAAGAAAGCCTCACGAGCTTCAAGGCAGCCGCGCACCGGTCGCGACCTGCGGCGCGACCGGGGGTGCGAAAAAAACAAAAAAGAACTTGTCGCACAAGCCTTGGGTTGCAGGGTTCAGTGTTAAACAAAAAAATACAAAAAAGAGTTCAGTGTAGGGAAGAGAGGTGCAAAGGTTGAGCGAATGCTTGAAGAATTGGGTTTAAGCAGTGCGATTGAGATCTCCACTCAGACTGTTTGGCCAGCTGTGGGGCCTCATATATTCTTTCAGATGATTGACAAGTGCCAGAGATGGAGGGAGAGAGCCTTGCCTGTTTGGCAGATGATTGATGATGATTATTGTAATTGCTTATTTTAGAGACACTCTTGTTCATGAACTGGGCGAAGATAGCACCAGATGAACCTGGTGCTGTTCTGCTCCCAGGAGCAGGTGGAGCAGCAGCGAAAGGCCCAGGAGGCACTCCTGGAGATGCAACTGGATGCTGCGCGACGGGAGCTGGAGCAGAACCTGAGAGCCTTGACACGGCAAAGTCGGTCGTTTCGATTCGTTGTGCAGCGAAGGTCGTTTTCCGAGGTCTTCAAAGACCACAGACAGCTTCATCCAAGAAGGCTACACAGAAACAGATAGGTCAGGAAACGAGGACTTCCCAAAGTTGTGGTTGCAAGTTGGGGCACAATCCACCCTGTTCAAACCGAGCACTCCAAATTGAGTGCAGCAACAGCACCTCAGTGAAGACAGTGAACACGGCACTCTGACTGCACAGCAACAGACAGACAGAATAGACAGGTGGTCAGGCCCACTCAGCAACTACCTTCCCCTCTGTACGATTTGATCTCCCAAAGCTAAGAAATTGTATAAAGTACATTACAATGCTGCAGCGGCGGCAGTACCCAAAGCTCCAAAACGCACACAAGCACCTCTTCCTATACTTGAAGTAGGAACCCCGATAGCTCTCACATGCTCTCACTATCTGGGGAATAGATTACATGTTTAAGGCTTCAAGGCATCAAATAACATCGATTCAATCAAATGATTGAGTCACCTTCAACCGCACCTTAAAGGAAGAACATCCCATGGGACCTCCACATCTCGCCCGGCTCGGTGGCTCTCGCTCCCCAGAAAAAGAAGCCGGCAAATCATTTTCCAGCCGAGCAGGACTGAAGAATCTTCTGCTTTCAAGCGGACTTGGATGGATCGGAAGTTCTTCCGGCCTCAGGAGCGGTGAAGCAGCAGAAGCACGAGGAGCTCCTTCAAGACGCCGAGCTTTGGAAGTGCATATGTCCTCCGAGACGAAGGGAAATCGACTTGGAAAGCACGCGGTCCGAGCTCGCCAACAGCTCGGATTCGACATAGTTGGACCATGAAGGATTACCCAGATGTTTCCCAGGACGGGGGGCGTTTTCTTCGAAGGCCCCAAGGCCCTAGTTCTCTCATCTCGCGGTGGGTGCATGGATAGGTTTTCACGAGCACTTATGGAAATAGGCAAATGCCCTGCTGTGGTAGCTGCTGCTCAGTCTGAAGAGGGTTGCCGACCTCCCAAGGGGTGCGTGCATTCGCATACCTGAAAACAATTGAATTGTTTTGGGCGTTTGTCCGTCCAAGGGTTCACTGCTAACAGCTTGGAACCCAACTGTTGATCGCAGATGGCAGATTTCCCGAAAGCATCTAAAAGTAGTTCTTTTCAAAACTAGCCTTGAGACTGATGTGGCTCAGGACTAAACAGGGCAAGCAGGTTTGGATGTGAACCCACACAGTTACTTAAGAATCCAGTTCACTCTCAACGAAATTCCAGAGAGCCTTCTTTTCAGGCTTCCTCCCAGCTGCCGAAGGTCTTCATGACTAGTGACTAGTGATGACTAGTGCCCCCCCCCCCAATGTGGCATGTACCAGAGTCTTTGGATCTCAAAGGCTTAAGATTTTTCTTTCATGGCTCTAAAGGCTTAAGATCTGGAAAAAGACACTTCCAAACAAACCCTCCCAACCTCCAAACTCTCCCAAACCTCCGCTCCAAACTCTTCCAAACCTCCCAACTCTCCGCGACCCGCTGCCACCCGAGGAGCGCGTGGCCCTGGCGGCCGTCTCCCGCGGCGTCCGCGAGGCCTTGGCCACGGAGGTGGCCAGCCTCCACCGACGCTGAGCGGACCGTGGGGACGGTGACCACCCAAAACGGCCCACGCACAGGGCCAAAACGCATAGGGGGCGCAGTGACCGTGTTTTTTGTGCCGGGGATGTATCATGAATCATGATGTGTATATATATATATACATGTCTGTGTGTGTTTTGTAACAAAGAGGCAAGTGGTCTTCTGTCTTGTCTTATTTATATAGAAAATTGAGGATTCTATAGGATTCTGCTGATATGAGTGTGAACGGAAGGTCTCCAGGATGCCAATTCTTTTGGGCCCCTTTTCAGTTCAGCCATGCCCTACATATCTCTTTTGAGCCCTGGGTTCTGACCAATACAAAGCTGCTCTGTTTGGTTTCCCTGCCTCAGCCGGTAGTCCAAAAATCTGCATCACCAGTTCAGCGCGGGCCCCTTGTTTGACCTGACCATTTCGAGTCATCTTCACTGGCTCGATGCCGGAAAGGTCGGTCGTCGGTCTCCCAGTTTCGCCCGAGGAAGCTTCAAGCAGCTCAACGACTCGGTGGACGAGCGGCTCCGCATCTTCGAGCAGCGGCTCGAACGCCACTTGGGCACACAGCGGCTGGGCAGGACAGGAACTCGAACGCCACCCCGAGCAGCTCCAAAGGGTTGTTTGGTTCCGGCTTCCTGTCGAAGAACTTGATACCACTTGGAACTCAACACCGCTTTCCCACAAGTTCTTCCTTGATGCGAGCCATGTAGACGACCATCGTTTGCTTTACTCGAAGGTTTTTGTAGGTGTTTGGATGTCTGTATCCCAGTTCTTCTTTTTGCGCCTTGCTGATTTGTTTGGCAACAGTAGACCCAGCTGGGAAACTTTGGGGACCAAGGTCTACTAGTAGCCCACGTTGCCGGGTGTGACCGTTGCTTTCCAATTGCCATCGAATCCGCGGGCACGGACAAATAAGCATCACCACTACGTGGTGATAGCACATTTCCCTTAAAGCACGTTCCCCTCAATCGACCCAAATCACCTTCATCTTAAAAACCACGCCTGATCTGCACATTCCCGAGGCATCGAGGATCGATCCTCTAAGAACATTGATGAAGTCTGGCTTCGTATGGAACAGTTGGAGTGGAAGTTCCACGAGGAGCGAGTGCAGGTCCACCCGTCCACTCACGCGTCCCGTGAACTCCGGTGCTTTTGGCCGTTGGTGCGGGTGGAGTACCGAACCAGCCGCGGTGGTTCCTGCAAGCCCCTGAAAGGCAACATGGACATGGAGAAGAGACCGCTTGGAAAGAACATGTTCCTACCCTTCTTTTTCGCCTACCACCAGAGCTCTCTTAGTTCGATCTGACCGCTTCATCAAGGTATCATGAATTGCGAACAGAATTGAAATGGCTTCTAGTTTAAATCGCTTATCAAGGTATCATAATGAAATTTGATGGTATCTGCATTTTGACAGCCAAATCAGACACATCAATGGCTTCGCACGAATCGATCACCGCCCTTGCCCTCGGGTTCCGACCGGACGACTGGACCGCGAGTCCGGCGAGGATGGACACTTGAGTCCTGAAGTGGCAAAGCAGGTCCCCAGCTTGGTCACCAACTGGGGCCGCTGGACTGAGAAGGTTATTTTTTTTTGGAATTTCGAGGCAGTGCAAGTGCTGGTGGATCCAAAAGATTGACCCAGAGATGGTCATCGTAGCCTAAAGAATGTCTGGGGCCGAGATGCACCCTGGGGATGTCATGGACTGTTGATGCTAGATGCTGCGGGATTTCTTCTTTCAACACTAGGACTCATCTATGACATGTTCAAGATTCTCGCAATTCTTAAG